GCATGCATCTGTTTGGTCCCAGCAGAGCAGCGGCCACCCCTTCCTCGGGAGCAGGGATGCGCAGTCAGCCTCACCCTCTCTGGTGGACGACTGTCAGGGTGACGATGATGGCCCTGGGGAAGAAAGATCATAGGAGAGGAAGTTTTAAGATTCAGGGTTTCAGACAGAGGCTACATCGTGGGTCCGGGGCCATTGGGTATCTGGCAGAATGGGAGAAACTGGGACAGCCGTGATAGGGTGGCCCCCCCACTTTCATAACATACACAATTCGCTTCCGTGAAACCGCTCACCATGTGACAGGGTAAATCAATGAAGTTCAAATAGCTTAGTTCGAATCGCTTAGAAGATGGCGTTGATTGAAAATCCTCCTCGGCTCTTCAGCGCCTCCCACGCCCCCCCTACCCACAGAAGGAAGTTAAAAGCTACATATCAGCCCGCCCTTAGAAAAGTTTGAATTTTGTTTGCTATGCCCCACACCTCCAAGCTGCCCCTGAGCAATCAACTGGCTCATTCCAGTTTCCATCACCAGGTCATGCTAGGCCTCCCCAAACCCCCTCCTCACACCAGGAGGGTACGCATTTACGCATGTGAGTATACAATAACTACAAGCGTGTGACTATTTGATAGTTTTAAACGTGTGACCAGTGTAAAAGTGTACCTTTCAACGAGACCCCTAAAGTTCGGGTCAAGGCTGTTCTCTTCCGAAACTTTCTTGGAGGGACAGTCGCCGGGCAGGCCAATAACAACCCCCTTACAAATTCTCACTCGGGCATTCCGGTTCTCATTCCATGCGGCAGACTCACAACAGAGCCAAGCGAAATCGTGACCTGAACAAAACTAGAAAAGGGAGGAGTCGAGTGAGCATTGCACCGTTCAAGAAAATCTTTTCATGGAAGCAGTGTCACCCCATCTTGGGCACGTCTGCTGAATGTCAATCCACAACACGTGCCGGGCGAGCAAACTAAGGAGTACAGCAAAAGCGGTGATGATGATGGTGACAAGAAAAAACAAAACAACAACAAAAAAGAAAGAAACCAAAAAATGGGCGAGCCCCCACGGGCCCCCGGGGGCCCTAGATCCACACCTCTGGGTCCCGGAGGTGTCAGGGCATGGAGCGGCTGGCCATCTGGTCGACCTGGATGCCGGCCACTCCGTTCCCTCCATCCAGCCACCTGGTTCCCCCGGGGGCCCCGGCTCCACACCTCAAGGTCCCGGAGGTGTCAGGGCATGGAGCGGCTGGCCAGCTGGTCAACCTGGATGCCGGCCACTCCGCTCCCTCCATCCAGCCACACTTGGGCCACAGATCCATGCCTCAGTGTCCCCTTTGGCAGCAGCACCCCTCCAGTCCGGCCAGCTAGTCAACCTCCATCTCGCACAGAAGAGGAGGAGGAGTGGTGCACGGGCGCATGGGCGCGTGGGATGGAAATGAAGGGACCCCACATAGACGGGACGATGAGACCCACGGCCACGCACCAGGCTGCCGGCACCAATGCCCATGCCCACGGACACCCCAATGATCCCCGCCATTCTTCCCCATACCCCCTCAGGCAGGGTGGGGAGAGGAGGCGGGAAGCCAGAAGGGGCACTCCCCCTCCCCCCCTTCGGTCAACCCCGACTCCCGTAAAAGCCCACGTGGGACGGGACATGCGCCTCCCCCCGGACCATCCGGGCTTTCACGTACGAGACCCGCCAGCCGCCCCAGCAGCACCAGGAAGGGGGGGTGCAGTGGGAGTTGGGCCTTGGTGGAGGGAAGGACAGAAAGGCAGGAAGGAAGGAGAGGCATGAAGCCCTCCACCACCACTCACGGTGCTGTGCAGGGAGCGCGACAGACAAACCCTTGTGTCGAGGGCTGACTCAATAGATCGCAGAGAGGGAGCTGCTCTGCTACATACGAAATCCCAACCCAGAAGCAGGTCATCTACCAATGGTTTAGCACCAGGTTCCCCACGAATGTGCGTTGTGTGATGGGTGAGGGGGTGGCGGCCTCTCTGGCTGCTCCCCATTTCCCAGGACGAGTGGCACTCCGCACCGACCCCGGTCCCAACGTGCGGCGGGGCGTGTCACGTGTGCATGGCGACCCACTGGTGGTGACGATGGGAGGACAGGCTATCCAAGGCCAACCAAGTCTCTGTGGTGCTGCCGTATAGTTCCGCCTGGGCGGGATTCTGACTTAGAGGCATTCAGTCATAATCCCACAGAAGGTAGCTTCACCCCATTGGCTCCTCAGCCAAGCACATACAGCAAATGTCTGAACATGCGGTTCCTCTCATACTGAGCAGGATTACCATGGCAACAACACATCATCAGTAGGGTAAAACTAACCTGTCTCATGACGGTCTAAACCCAGCTCACGTTCCCTATTAGTGGGTGAA